CCATTTTCTCCTAAGGAGTTTATAATTTAAATAATTGATATTTGGATTGGGGATCTTTTTCATGTTCCATGATATTTTGCAGAAATATGTACATGGATACGTGTTACACGGGTATATCTATAATTCATTAGTAAAAGTTTTACATTTTCTGGGTTTCTGAGACAATTACTAGGCTTTTGAGTGCAGAGAGAGTGCAGAAGTACAGATAGCAGCTTGGGGGGGGGGTCACTAAGGACTTCCTTTAGCAGCAGAGCACATGGTGTGATGGTTTGGAAAGTTGGAGTTTGGTTGATGTAGTCACTCGTTTCCCATAATACGGGGTTCTGCTTTTGTCATTGCTGGGGTGGAGGTGGTGGGAGAGCTTACCGTGTACTTACAGGAGGAGATAGGAGAGGCACCTGTGAATAAAGTGTAGAGGTAAGTGAGACAGTGTGTCTGACCTTCATTGCAGTCAAGATAGGCCAACATGGAGGGAGGAGAAGAGCAGCACTCGGTTTTTCAAAGGAATTCTTCAGTTTTAGAACAGATCCAAAATGGGATGCATTAAAATATAGGGCCTGCAAGGATATAATGTACCCTCTGTTGTGGTTGGGATCTATATTAAACTGAAAACTCAGGCACACTTTTTATTCTGACTTATTCAAACTTTTCCAGATCTTGTTCTTACCAGAGAAGACATTGTTTCTGCTACAGTCAGTGGTCTGGGCAATGCAACTGCTTTCTTCAATTCAGGCCCACCTATTTTCTTAGAGGGTCAAGACAAATATTGCTAAAGATAACAGATGAAAGTTAGTTCTCGTTGTCACCTTAAGGTAAGTTTTCCTTGTACAAACTCGTCTTAGGAAAGGCAGGATGTAATGTTGGGAAAAAGAAAACCCACTGTCTTGGGTATTAAGAGATATGAATTTTTATTTTGGCCTGCCATTAACCAGATAGCTGATTCTCCTTAGAAAGTCACTTTATCTTTCTTGTCCTCAGTTTTCTCATCTTAAAGACAGTATTAACTTGCTGGTGCAACGGTTAAGCACTTGGATGATAACTGAAAGGTCAGTTGTTTGAATCTGCCAGCTGCTCTGCAGGAAAAAGATGTTAAGAGTCTGCTTCTATAAAGATTTACAGCCTTGGAAACATTGTGGGCAGTTCTATTGTATCCTATAGGATCACTATGAATCAGAATTGACTTGCAGTAGTGGATTTGTTTTGATTTATCAACTTGGTAAAATGCACGGTAGCTAAAGGTCTCTGCTGTGCAACAATTCTATATTCTTGCCCAACGGTTCCTTGAACTCGTTAACATCTGAGTCTGTATTTCATAGCCTACCAAAAAGACTATTGTGATATCATATAGTCACAGGTGGTAGCTCTAGGCACCCACTCCAAACTCCGGCAGTGCTGATTCCCAGAACTAAACTGGATCTATATTGGGATGGGCATTGGATAAATGCATAAGAGCTAGAAACAGACATTCTGGGTGTGACTACTGGTTTCCTTTATTTATTATTATTATGATGTTGGGCAAGTCACTAATCCTCTCTAAGCCTCCATCCCTTTTCTAGAAAATAAAATTCTTAATATAACCTATCTCATAGTTATGAGGACTAAATGAAATAATATATGTACAGCATTTAGTTTAGCATAGAGCATATGGCAAGCATGCAATAAAAATTAACTACTGTTATAGGAACTACATGGTATAAAAATAAATCTCTGCACACTATTAAGAATGGGAAAAGCAAAGTGATAGTAAAAGTGTGTGTTTCAAAATATTTAGTTATGTGGAGTTAAACCAGGAAGAGTAGCTTTTCTGCTTTGGAAGACATTTGTCTGCCCAGGCCCTTGCTTTTCATGAGTCTGAATGCCCTTTTGTGACAGATCTTCCTGGTACATCAATTCAGCTCCTTTCTCCAAAATGATGTGCATTGAAGGCTATGATTAGTAATAGGCACACTGTTGACCTTTGGACTAGGACACACGAAAAACTGATCCTGAGTTTGAGTCTGACAGTTAAGAGCAGACATCAAAGACATCAGGCCGAGTATGAGTACATTCCATGGAAGAAAGAGGTGGCAATCGGCTTCTCTCAAGATTTATAGTCTTGGACGTCCTGTGGGCAGTTCTACTGTCCTATTAGGGTCACTATGAGTCTGAATCCATTTGACGGCAGTTTTGGGATTATACAAAGAGTAAAATTCTATCCTTTTCAGTGTACATCTCTGTTAGTTTTGTTAAATCCATACAGCAAAGGCATCAATTGTAATAAAAGCCTAAGTTGTTTTGTTTGTGTGTTTGTGTCTGTGTGGTGTGGGGGAAAGAAGAGTCAGATGAAAATCATAGAACTTTTTAAAAAATATTTTCTGTTTCCTCAAGATCTGTAAGAAGATGAATGACATAATAGTGACATAATGGAGATGAACATGTCACTGTTGGGGTTTTCTGTCTGGCTTTGGTCATGAAATACAACCTTTGGGGCAGAACTTCCTGAACATCTGAAAATAAATCAGTAAGTTTTTGATTCGCCCAAGGGTCATCTCCTCTGGAGAGTAGTTGGCAATTAGAAGTGCACTTAACTTTCTCCTCAAGAGATGTTACCCTTGGAAAGACTCTGATGCAGTGGACCATCCATAAGGGAAAGCACTTATCCTTGGACTTTTAAGTTTAGCCTTTTAGCAAGGCATTTGTGGGGATTTTCCTTTCCATATACTTATTATGTCCCACGCTCACATTAGATAGAATTCGTTTACTTCTGTTATCTTTGTGCCCTAACAATACATGTGAATTTGCAGAATAAGAAATCTGAGTTCCAGAAAAAAGTGTTCCAGAATTAATAATAGCAAAACTTAGTTTTAAGTATGATCTTGAAGTTCAAAATATGTAATCTTCATTAAGTAAATGGAAATGGGCTTCGAATGAGACAGTTTCTCATTGCATATATAGACTTAATTTGTTGACTTTCCTACTGCCCAAGGCACTTGACTGCTAACCAGAAGGCAGGCAGTTCAAACCCACCAGCCGCTCCTCGGAAGGAAGGTTGGGCAATCTACTTCTGAAGTGATACCACCTCGAAAACCCAAAGAGGGGTCGTCATGAGTCGGCAATGACGTGATGGCAGTGAGGTTTTTTTTTTTTTTTTTTAATAATGGTACGAATATAAACCACAGATCAATCATATTTGGCTGGTGGGCTAAACATGGTATCAAGGATGATTGTGATATAGTTATGACAGCCTCATCCTTTTGCTCTGACCTTCTCAAAGCAATTAGTGCCCAATTAAGCCCTCACCCTATGTCCATTTGTTGAATTGGTAACAATTTCATGACTACATCATGGCAGCTACCTCAATTACGTTCAGATAATATTTCTTTGATTCCATGTGTTGTTTTATTTCCATTGTACTCAGTTTTAAAATCCACAGATTAAACTTCAGGCCTTCAAGAAAAAATATTCTCTGATCATAAAATTAATAATGCAAACTATAGAAATTTGAAAAATAATAAAAAAACAAATAAATAAAAAATAGCCATTATTCCATATGTAGGAGTAAATGCTCTATATACTATTTTATTCCCTTTCAAACACTTTTTAATACATCTATCTTTTTTTAAATATTTTTTTTAAAATTTGTGTTTTGGGTGAAAGTTTACAGGTAAATTGGTTTTCCATTCAGCAGTTCATGCACGTTTTACTTTGTGACATTAATTGTGGTCACTACAATGTAACATCACTCCTTCCACTTCCTCCCTTTGTTTACTATCTCTCTTTGTCCTTCTTTCCAGTCCCTTTCTGCCGCCTTAGCTTTATCCTTGGGCAAATGTACATCTATGTTAAAAGTAAAGCAAAAAATAACATTTTATAAATGGAGTTTTTGAATTTGGATTTTATTCTTAAAATGTACATGTAAAATCTATAATCTCCAATACTAATTCCATAACTCCTATTTCCTAGCATTTTTACTTATACATCTACTCCTCATTTATCAACTATCTTGTTATTTGACATATCACATTTACAATAATAGCAAAAAATCTACTATCTGACTACTTTTCACGTTAACGATGTACATCGGGCAGAAACAAATGCTGAGGTGTGAGGCAAGAGTAATACTGGCTGTGATAGTTAAGGTTATGTGTCAACTTGACTGGGCCACAAGTCTCAGTGGTTAGCAGTTATGTAATGATATAATTTGGTAACTATGTAATGATGTAATTTGGCAGTTATGTAAAGACGTAGTCATTCTCCATTTTGTGATCTGATTTAGTCATTTTGCATTTTCACATAATACTAACTTTTGCATAATGACCTGGTCTTTGGAAAGTAATCACGTCAATAAGTGAGGAGCGGGTGTATTTCCATAATTAAAACTATGGTTTACAGACTCTTTTGTGCTTTTCAATTCCTGTTATTATATATATGTACTTTTACATCTTGTTAGTCTCTAAAATTACTACTTCTAATGAATATATTATTCCCCCATGTTGACATTCAAGTGAAAATTTGCAAAGAGTACCCTGGTTTTAGGAAATGCTATTCCTTTCTTCTGGGTATTCTCAGTTTCATAAGAATTTTTTTTTTTTTTTAATGTCAGGGTAATAAATGAGGAATATGGTCAACTAAGAGATGTTTTGAGGTATCTATTCCTAGAGAATCTAGAGATGAGAAGGAACCATCTGAGAATGGCAGTGAAAAGGCAGACTTTTGGACGGTTTGATTCTTCTTATTTCATGGTATTCATTTGTTTGGCACTCTGCCCTCAGTGTAATTCCTCTTATGAGTTTTCTGGTTCATTAAATGTTGGTTGTATAGTTAAAAGGATAATGCTTGTCACCTTCCCTTAAGGTTTCCAGTATATTAACACCTTCCCTATCATGTCAGTCAGGATTTAATCAGAAGACAGACAGCGAAGTAATTTTAAAAGGTAAACTTTACATTCAACTTTTCTTCCTTTCTTTTTATTTCCAGGTGAAAAATTCCTTCCTGGAGTTTTTATCACCAATAATACACAGATGGGGAATAACAGGAATATGACTGAATTCATTTTAATAGGTCTTACACAGAACCCAACATTGCAGAAAGTAGTGTTTGTGGTATTTTTGATTTTGTACATGATAACACTCTCAGGCAATCTACTTATTGTTGTTACTATTACCACCAGCCAGGCTCTGAGCTCCCCCATGTACTTCTTCTTGACCCAGCTTTCTTTGATAGACACAATTTATTCTTCTTCTTCAGCTCCTAAACTGATTGCGGACTCCCTGCATGAGAAGAAAATAATTTCCTTTAATGGGTGTATGGCCCAAGTCTATGCAGAACACATCTTTGGTGCTACTGAGATCATCCTGTTGACAGTGATGGCCTATGACCGCTATGTGGCCATCTGTAAACCCTTGCACTACACGTCCATCATGAGCCATAGGCTGTGCATTCTCCTGGTGGGAGTGGCTTGGACTGGAGGCTTTCTCCATGCAACTATTCAGATCCTCTTCACAGTCTGGCTGCCCTTCTGTGGTCCCAATGTCATAGATCACTTCATGTGTGACTTATATCCTTTGTTGAAACTTGTCTGCATGGACACTCATACCCTTGGTCTGTTTGTTGCTGCTAACAGTGGATTCATTTGCTTATTAAACTTCCTCCTCTTGATGGTATCCTATGTGGTCATCCTGCGCTCCCTAAGGACCCATAGTTTGGAGGGGAGGCGCAAAGCTCTCTCTACCTGTATCTCTCACATCACAGTGGTCATCTTATTCTTTGTGCCCTGCATATTTGTGTATCTGCGTCCAGTGACCACTCTACCCATAGATAAAGCTGTGGCTGTCTTTTATACTATGGTGGCCCCTATGTTAAATCCCTTAATTTATACCCTCAGAAATACTGAGGTTAAAACTGCCATGAGGAAGCTATGGAGCAAAAAAGTGACTTCAGATGATTAAACAGAATCACTGAGGATTGTAAGTAGAAGTAATAGAGCCAATGTATTCCAACCCTCTTTATCTGTATATTGAAACATAAACTTTAAGAAGACTTGAATCCAGATAGTCTCTCATCCCAAACTCCATCACCATGCTTTACTGATTCTAGTTCAATAAATATTTATTGATTACCTGGATACTGGAAACATTTATGGAAACTAAAATGTATGAATCTAGAATGTTGGATTGATATTAAAATAGTCTTCTTATGTAACATAATGATGTTGGTTAATGGTGATTATGGGAAAAAATCATTTTTAATGGTATTCATTTTTTTACTCTGCCCTCAATGTAACTTATTTCTTATGAGTTTTCTTATTCATTAAATGTTGATTGTATAGTCAAAAGGATGTTTGCTACTGGCCTATAAGACTTCCATTATATTAAGCACTTTCTACGTCATGTCAGTCACCATTCATTTAAGAGACAGACCATGCAGTAAATTGAAAGGGGAAAATTTACATTCAATTATTAATCGTATCAAATATTGATTATAAATGAGTAAAGAGAACTCTAAAGGATACCTTGAGGCTGAGAGAGAATATCCAAGGAAGGAAAAAAACTTATAATGTGGGCCACCTTCTCAAGGGTGGATTCCCATCTTTTGAAGAAGGTGTGGTTGTAGCCAACTGGATGGTGAGAATTTAATTGAGTTTTTGTGGAAGAGAACTAGTCCACAGTACACAGACAGAGGCAGCAAGAAACTCAGCTGGAACTGGCAAGCCTGGAGCCTCTCACTGGAGTGCTGGTGGGCAGGACTGGTGAACAAAGAACCATGGCTGTCACAGCAACAGAAAATTCCCCCCTGGATTCAGGTTTGTGTTAATGTTGGCAGAAAATACTACATCAGAGAGCAGATAAGACAAGCTGGGAAGCTGATTGGAGAGCTGTGTGATTTGCTGGAATCTACCTGCAGAGATGACACTGAATCTGAGAGGGAAACTGTCTATGGCAGGAGCCATCTAAACGGAATGGGTGTGACCACCCTAGATGTCTACCGCCTTCCCAACATTGCTGGGAGCTCCGTAGGCAGAGCAAGATGAAAACATGTGATTCCTTATTCTATGTATACTACTTCTCATTACACAAGCTTAAGTAGGAACTTCCTTCCTTTGTGGGTGGTAAGTAGCTGTCATCATTTTTTCCCATCCAAGTACTGAGCAGACATGATCCCAAGTAATAATTTTTTTCTTGTAAAGCTTAAAAATAAATTAAAAGTCTAATTTATCAAAAAGATTATTTATGATATATTTTGTGATGATTTAATATAATTTCACTATTAGGTGTATTGGATATCTTATTTATCCTTTCGTTGAAGAGGCATAAACAGAGGATGGTGAATAAGAAGGAGGTAATTTTCTAGAACATAAAATAAATTTTGAAAAGGGAGTTTTTTTTTTTAATCAAATTTCTGTCATTTAAACTTTTCATCCTGATTATTATTTTTTTTCCTGATTCAGTGAGGGTAGCTCTCTTCAGAGTTTGAAGGCTCTAGCCTCCTCCCCTCTACTAAAGAGTTTCATGATGCTTCATGTAGATTAGGGTTTGGTACCAGATTGATGGCAAGAATGGCTAGAGAAGGTGAAGCAATGCAAAAATATGAAAGTAGATAGCAACCAGATAGGAAACCAGATTTGAAAACCAAAAGTAAAGGAAATTCCATCTGGCAGAAAGGCAATGGAAAAGATATCTGACATCAAAATGGCCAAGAAATTTGAGTGGTGGGTGGAACCTGGAGTGATTCCCGAAGGACAAGAGTAGTGAGTCTTTGGATTCCCTCTACAGTTGTGAGGAAATTAATAAAGATACACAGACAGGTTGGACAGAAAGGAAGTTAATGAAGTTGGTGATTAACCTTCATATAGATTGCCCATTGGGCATGCCAGGTAGTCTCTGACATGATCATTAGTTGAATAGCCTTAATAACACACTCTCAAAAAAAGAAGAAGACCCTCAACAAGATTGATTGACACAAAAAGTGGGTTCAAACATAACAATGATTCTGAGGTTTGTGCAGGACCAGACAGTGTTTCATTCTGTTGTATGTAGGCTTATTATGAGTTGGAACTGACTGACGGCACCTAACAACAAATTGACAGTGCCATGATGGAAAGAGCCCTGCTTTTTTTTTTTTTTCCTATTTGACCCTCCGTATCCCTTAACTGTAATGTGCCCAATGTGCAGCTCAAAGATTCTCACTTCCTTCTGGAGGGAGGATGCACAGATACCCAGAGAAGTGAAGTAACTTTGGTGAAATGTGTCCCAACTCTCAATTTCAACCTTTTTTCTATCTCTCATTAATTTCCCTAGGCTCCTATTCTCTTCTTTTTAAAATACGAAGTTTATTCTATATAAACTTTCAAATGTCCAAATCAGATTTATATTCCACAATTTGAACAAAAAGTTAATGGGTTCTCTGGTGTTATTTTTTAAAGTTCCCTTATATACATTCTGGGTAATAAATGACCAATTGGAGGGGGGAAATAAACAAATGCATGGGTCATCCTGGAAACAAGTGGCACAGTGGGGTAGCCTGCTAAGCTCTGGAGCCAAGCCTTAGAAGGCATCATTTGAGAGAGAGGATGCTGGAAAAGTGATAGGGGGAGAGGATCACTGTATGTTCTGGAGAAGGTGTCAGAATAAATGAGGAGAAACAGTTTGAAGGTATTTAGGAAATATCACTTTAAAAATGACATTGAAATCTTTCAACATTATAAAATTTGTAGCAAAATTCATCTTTAGAGTGAGTACTACTGTTTTGTTAGCAAAACATTTTAGCTACCCTTCGATTTCTCTAAAGGCAAGGGCCAGAGTCTCTCTGAGGAAGAGAAGTTGAGACAAAGAAGAGTTAAGCTGTTCTGTATGATAAAGCAAAAAGGTGACTCACAGGGTGGAAAATTTGTAATGATGTGAACTGATTTTTACTTGCTTCCAGGAGCTTGAGACAGGCACTTAATACTCTGGATTGGGGGAAGAGAGGATGAGATGGGCCCCTAGCAGAAGCAAGCCCCAATAGGGGTTGCAAACCTGACACAGAGACTCCTTTCTTTGTGGTGTGACTCATGGATGGGGTAGGGGGCACTGTGTCTGATATTAAATTTTAGGAATTCCTTTTCATTACTGTATTTCCTTCATGTTATCCTCAGGTGATGTAATTCAGCCAAGGGCTGCTATGCTTAAGGGAATGAAGAGAGGGACTGGAGTGGCACAGAGAAGTGGTGGTGAGATGACTAGATTCATATGGTTAGAGAATAGTAACACTGATGATGTTAATGATGATGGCAATTATGGTATTAGTACTAGCAAATACGTATATAGCAATGATCAAGTGCCAGGCACTGGTCTAAGTATTATATACATATTATCTTATTTTATCCTCATAATGGCCTTATGAGATAGGTACTACTTTTAGCTCCATTTCACAGATGAGGAAACCGAGGTACATAGGTAAAAGGTAAGTAGTTTTTTCAAAAGGAGAAACTTGGAGCAGAAATCTGGAGAGGGGTATTTTGTATGGGCATCTAAGATAGAAAGTTGAGCTGTTGACGGTATTTGGAGAGTAACATAAAGTGTGATGCTGGAAGGTTGCAACACTGGGGACCACAGGTCCAGCACTTGTGATGAATTTTGTCCACTTCTCCATATTACCCTACCCTGGCCCTGGACCACACTCAGCTGAGTTGCTGTCCTCTGAGACAGAGACTCATAGGATTATGATATGTAAATCACTGGTCCAGGGTCAACTTCCTCCAGCTTGTGGGGAGGAGAGAGTTGGATCCTTTCAGAGGTGACTCTCAGCTTCAGATACTCAGGGAAGACACTTTCAACTTGTGCCAGTACTAGGGCATGAAAGACAATGGGATTATGGGGATCTCAATCTGGTTGGGTCATATATCTAGTGACTTCAATCAAGAGATCTGACATCAAGGCACGAGAGCTGGGGTCATCTAGGGGACAGAGCTCTTTTCCGCAGTCTCCTCATCATCCTCACTCTAGATGACGAGCAAAGTGGGGAAAAGGACATAGACCAGCTGCAGCTGAGTTAGTTACTATAGTGGTTGCAACATAGGCAGAATCCAAATACTCAATTTGTATTTCAGAAATTTCCAACCATTCAGATTTCCTAGAAAAATTTTCCAAGGAAGAAGATAAAACTGTACATTATTCAAGTCCTTTGAATAGACCGTAAAGTAAGTTTTCCTTCATTGTTGATATCGTGTCCATTAATTTCAAAATTTCTATCAACTTCCTATGCAAAAACACCACAAAATAACTTTGGTTTGACTCTCTGTAATGACTCTCAGTTCATTTTTCTCCCAGCTGAATTTTGATTAATATATCTAAAATTCTATTTTATACTTGATATCAGAGTTCGAACTGAGAAAAATAAGACATGTTGGTTGTAATACTAACCCAACCCTTATAATCGCTATGTTATCATTCTCACCTTATAAATTACCCTTTCAGTGGTTGGAGAAAGATTTTTCCCTGAGACTGTACTGATGAGTATTCCTAGCTTAAAGTGGAGCTCACAAGCCAGCTATATCTTCTGTGCCCCTCTGTGAGACTTTTCTCCCTAATGTTAGTGCCAGTGCCTGTTTTTGGCCAGAGGCATAGGCCATAGAAGATGGTGGTTATATCAGAAAGTACACAGGCTGGATTGGCAAGTGCTCAGGCTCCCAGTAGCACCTCTTCCATGAACCAACAGTGTGACTTTGGACAGCTGCCCCTGGCTCTCAAGTTCACCATCTTTAAAATGAAGGCAACTTGAAAATACAAACTGAAATGTCAGAGTTCTTCAGCAAAACAGGAAAATGGAAATGCAGGGCAGTGAATTGCTTAACATGGTCTTTCTAGACATAGCCCTCCACTTTGTGATGTATTGTAAATCTTACCTCTATGCCTATTTAAGGTGGAATGTATCTTGAGTCCCACCTTGCTGGAGGGTGTGATTCAAGTCA